CCATCTCGTCTACAATCGGTACCCCCTACCGATTCTGCACAATCAACCTCGAAGCACCCGCCCGAAATATCTAAGGACTCGTGTCAACCTCATAGGGCCCTCCCACGAGTCCCACATCGGAAATAAGTACTAAGAGCATACAAAATGCCCTCTATAAATACACCCCTCCACCACAGTACAGGGGAAGACTTTTCAGCTTGACTTTTATACTTTTATATGGTCAACAGCAAGAGCTCTTAAAAACAATCTTACTTGAGCATCGGAGGGTCTTAGGCTGGTTCCACACCGGTTCCATAGACCTCACGAGCTTCGCTTATCTTCTATTCAGGATCAGCATCCAAGGACAGGAAGAATCGGCATCCAACATCCAATCGATCTCTTGATTGTCCATCCCACTTGTAAGTTGTACTCATCTCCATCTGTTCAGTTTTTAGTGCCAACAGTACTCTCAAGGATAACCAAACCAGAGCCTGGTTGCCTATTTATGAGGGTGAGAGTACAACAACTAAGAACAATAACTTTTTAGGCTCATTTTACCTCAATGACATTCCTCCAGCCCCACGTGGTGTCGCTAAATTCAACGTTCGTTTTGATATTGATGTGAATGGTATCCTGAGTGTCTCTGCTGAGGACAAGTCCACCGGCCAAAAGAATGGGATTACATTCGATAGTGACAGAAGAACTTCTGAAGGAATTGAGACATTAATTTAACAAACTGTATAGACTGATGTGTAAGAAACATTAGTTTCTGGCATGCAATAGACTGAAATAGCTTGTACTAATCACATTTCATACTTTGGAGTTTGCCAAAATTTTAATGTTTTATTTTAAGTTCTAATAGCCTCATAATTTCTTCGAGGAAGTACATATTAGAAAGTCGTTTCCTTGCATGGTTTATACTTGGTGTGTGTTATTACTGTAAACTAGTCCTTTTTGGTGTGACGGTTGTGTCAAGAGATGAATCAGAAATTTGAGTGCTGGGAGCCTCCAACAGGCAACCCGTTGGTGGCTTGTTCACGTGTAATTGCTTCCATTGGCCCTCTGTTGTCCACAATGTTTTATTGCTCATGTCTAACATACATGAGCTTTTGGACATTGCTGCTTTATAGAATGCAAGAGTCTCATAAGATAAGATTGGTATTTTTGAGAGGTATATAAATGGCAAAAGGATAAAAAGAGGCGTTTTTTAGTTTGATGCTTTTACATTCTAGTTGGCACTGTAAAAATTTTAGTTTGATTCTCCTGTTTAGCGTTTGGCTGTTGTTCTGCAACCATGACAATATCCTGGTTATGTTTTGTGATGAATCACAAATTCAAGGCAGGGAGGCTTCCGGCCCTTCTTTGGCTTGCTCATTTGTTGTTGATGCCGTTTCCCTACTTGTTGACCGTGTGTCGTGAAGAATACCTGGTTGATATATCTGTGTCTGGCTTGTGTTCTATAAAATGATGATGCAAGAGTCATCAAAGATTACAACTTACAAGACCGGTATTCTTGAGAAGTTTATAAGGTGTTTTTTTTTTCTCTGTGCAGAGGAGGGAGAAAAGGGTAAAAAGGAAATAAATCGATAGCAAAAAGTCTTGTTTTAAAAACAAAAAAGCTGAAGCATTGGTTCTCAAAAAAGAAAACGTAAGGTAGCTGAACAGTTTTGTGCTTTGAATTTGATGCAATATTATCTTGAGATGTGTTTTTTTAATGCACCTTTTAGTTTGGCATGGAACAATGTACCAACATTAAATTCTGGGGTCCTGTGGACTGCGCAACAATTTATACAGAAGTAAAATAAGTTTTTCTCTGTTGTTATCGTTCTCTTCGGTCATTTTTCTTCTTTGAGTTTTTTGAGCTGAGAATGGCTGGAGTAGAAGGCCATGCAATTGGAATTGATCTGGGAACAACATACTCCTACGTGGCAGTGTGGCAGCACGATCGTGTTGAAATCATAGTGAACGATCAGGGCAACAGGACCACTCCATCTCACGTTGCCTTCACTGATACTGAGACATTGATAGGCGATGCAGCTTTTAACCGGGTCATCAGAAACCCTGCCAACTCCATCTTTGGTAAGCTTATATTCCCACATCCAAATTATATATGCCACTTCTTTGTGCTGTTTATTTCCGATGAGGCTGTGAGTTTTCTAATTGTCCTGTTTATCCTCTGCTTTTTTCCCCACATATACTTGCTTTAGCTTTATACTGCAATGTTTTAATCCCTGCTTTCAATGAAGTTGAAAATTGTCTTGATTTTGATATGGGTGTTCCTAATGGGGGAGGCTTAAGGGTACTGCTTAAGAAGCCATAGCTTAACTACACTATCAGTATTATGCTTTCAGTTTCAGTTTCATAAAAAGTATTCTCTCACGAGTTTTCTTATGCAATAAGATCTTGTGTTTCTATACAGAAATTTGCTGCTGCGTGGCAAAGTTTGTAAATTTCTTCTTTTTTTGTTCGATTACTTTTCTAAATATGGCATAAATTTCCAGATGCAAAAAGGTTGATAGGCAGAAGATTTAGTGATGCATGTGTTCAAGATTATATGAAGCTCTGGCCCTTCAAGGTCATTAAAGGTCCTGATGATAAGCCCATGATTGTGGTTACCCACCAGGGCCACAAGAAGAAGTTTTCTACTGAAGAAATCTCATCCATGGTTCTGGTGAAGATGCGAGAGATTGCTGAGGCCTACCTCGGCTCAACTGTTAAGAATGCGGTGATCACAGTCCCTGCTTACTTCAATGACTCGCAGCGTCAGGCTACAAAAAATGCTGGTGCCCCTGCTGGCTTAAAGGTGACGTGTATTATAAACGAACCCACTGCTGCAGCCATTGCTTACGGCATTGACAAGAGGGCTGGTTGGTACAGCAAGAGAAATGTGCTGATGTTTGATTTTGGTGGTGGTACGTTAGATGTGTCACTGCTTTCCATAAGCTGTGGTGTCTTCGAAGTGAAGGCGACTGCTGGAGACACTCAGCTTGGAGGTGAAGACCTTGATAACAAAATGGTGAATTTCTGTGTTGAGCAATTCAAAAGGAAGCATAATTTAGATGTGAGTGGAAACTCCAAGGCTCTTAGGAGGCTTAAAAATAGTTGTGAGAAGGCAAAGAGGAGAATTTCCTTTACATCTTCAACTGACATTGAAATTGACTGTTTGTATGAGGGTACTGATTTTTATGTAACTGTTACTCGAGCTAAATTTGAAGAACTCAATAGGGATATCTTTGTCAAGTGTATGGAGCCTGTGGATAAGTGTTTGAAGGATGCCAAAATGGACATAAGCAGTGTCCATGATGTTGTTCTTGTTGGTGGCTCGTCAAGAATTCCCAAGGTGCAGCAACTTTTACAAAATGTTTTCAAGGGTAAGGAGCTGTGCAGAGGCATTAATCCGGATGAGGCTGTGGCTTATGGTGCTGCTGTTCAGGCTGCAATCTTGTGTGGCAAGGGAAATGAGAAGCTTCAAGACCTCACTCTCTTGGATGTCACCCCTCTGTCACTCGGTGTGGAGACTGGACGAGAGCGCAACATGACAGTTGTGATTCCAAGAAACACCAAGATGCCTGTCAAGAAGAATTATACTGTTACCACTCGCCATGACAACCAAGCTGTTGTTAGATTTGCCGTTTATGAGGGTGAGAGTACGACGATGTTGAATAATTACTATTTGGGTGATTTTAGGCTCAAAGATATTCCTCCGGCTCCAAGGGGTGTCCCTAAATTCAACATCTGCTTTGAAATTGATGCCAACGGAATTCTGAATGTATCTGCTGAGGACATGTTGACTGGCCGGAAGAAGGGGATTACCCTCAGTAGCAATGACACAAGTTGTGAGGGAATTGAGAAGATAATGTAAGAAAGGTCATGTTATGATGAACACTGAAACAGTCTGTTATAATTAACTGAGCTGAGACAACCATGTAATTCTTCTTGGATTTTATAGATATAACGTTTTCAACCATTATATTAACTTTAATTTGTATCCCCTTAATTTAAAACCTAATACTTCATCCAAATATACTTAGAAACCTAACACCAAGATGGAACCAATATGTGAGTTTAGATTTGTGGCAGCAGGATCATGCTGAAATGTTAATAAGCATGCAGGCAGGGCAATATCTCACACTGGATTTACTGATGCTGAACTTGGGAAGGAATTGAGACAGCCATGTTATTGAAATAGCATATTAAATCATTTGATTGTAAATGGAAGAACCTATTTCTTTAAATTTGGCTGTCCACTTACATTCATTTCTTTGGCTGCCAGTGCCAACCTCACCAAAATTGCCACTTCTTTTTCCTTTGTTTTCTTTCCCGCTCCCTATTTTTCTGTATGTTGATGCTAAAAAATGGTTCAGCACTTTTTAGCCCAACTTAGAGATGAGGTATGATGGATGATAGGTGAAGGTGAGGACCTTCAGCAAGTGTGTGAGGATTTGACAAGCTTAGCGATAAATATACAGAAGACAAGATATACGTGGTTCACCCTTAATGAATGGGGTACGTCCACGGAGAAGTATATTCTCATTATTATAACAATGTGTATTTACATTTGTACAAGGAGCTGGGCCCAAATATAAAGAGAAGAAAGTAGAGACTAAAGATCAAGCCCAACCAAGGGGGGATCCTTTCCTAAGTGGAGAGTGGTCTCCTTTTATAGATGAGAAGGAGTCTTCACTTCTTGCAATATTTCAATGTGGGACTTTTTGCCTTGCTTAGAATTGCTTCTAGTTGCTTGGTCAAATACGGTATAAACAGAAGTCCCCTAAGTTCTCGAGTAAGGAGGTACTTCTTGGTTGGGGACTTGTAATTTTCAGTGCATTGACCGAGCAACACCTTAGTCTTCTTCCAAGCCGTATACTGTGGTGCGGATGGTGCTGAATGCATCGCTCATGTCAAAATGATGATGACGGGGTGCCGAAGGCTTCGCTTCCGCCTAATGATGACAGGGTGCCGAAGGCTTCACTCTTGCCGAATGATGACAAGGTGCCGAAGGCATCGCTCGTGTCAAAATGATGACGGGGTGCCGAAGGCATCGCTCGTGTCAAAATGATGACGGGGTGCCGAAGGCATCGCTTGCGTCAAATGATGACAAGGTGCCGAAGGCATCACTTCTGCCTAATGATGACAGGGTGCCGAAGGCATCGCTTCTGCCTATGATGACAGGGTGCCGAAGGCATCGCTCGTGTCAAAATGATGACGGGGTGCCGAAGGCATCGCTCGCGTCAAATGATGACGGGGTGCCGAAGGCTTCGCTTCCGCCTAATGATGACAGGGTGCCGAAGGCATCGCTTCTGCCTATGATGACAGGGTGCCGAAGGCGTCGCTCGTGTCAAAATGATGATGGGGTGCCGAAGGCATCGCTCGCGTCAAATGATGACAGGGTGCCGAAGGCATCGCTTTTGCCGAATGATGGCGGGGTGCCGAAGGCATCGCTTGCGTCAAATGATGACAGGGTGCCGAAGGCATCACGTCTACCTAATGATGAGGGGTGCCAAAGGCATAGAGAGACTTGCAGATTTTTTGTGGAGCCATCCATGCGATGGGGCTCTTCTTATGCCTTTGGATGGCTCCATTGATGATTTTAACATTGCCGTTCGGCACATGTCTCTTTCAAAGGCAGGGTGATAAGAGAGGGAAACCGTGAGGTTGTGCCTGGCAAAATTGGAGTGACTATTCTCTAAAAAAGCAGTGACCCGAAAAAACGAAAGCAAAAGCTTTCAGAAGCAGACAGTCTCTCTCTTCGTTGGCTTCATCGACTGAGAGCTGCCAATTTCGGTGGCTTCTCAGCCATTTTGGCTGCTCTTCGTGCTAATCTAAACCATGGCTGAAGGATCTCCTGGGGTTTTCATAAAACAGTTTATTCAATCAGTATTGTATTCTTTTTTTCAAATATAGTACAGATATCACAGCTGCTGCTGGGCAGTTCAACTCAAGTTCCTTTCTTTCATCCAGAATAATGCACCACTTTCTGCCTATCCCCAGTAACCATAAAGAGAGTCAAAACATGCTCTACTATTTGACTATTCCGCATAATTATCAAGAGCGCAAAAAACCAAATAAAATGTTTAATAGGTCCCTTAATTGCTAAGCAGCATCATGTTGAAGTTCAGTTAAAAGTTCTAAGCATGCAGCATTCTTTCCCTTGGGGCTTGGGACAACTGCAAATACACTGCTGGCACAGCAACAACTTAAATGAAACAAGAAAGCTGATCTACCGAGCGAACGGCTAGCAGACCGATTTAGAAGTCTCTGCAACTTGCCTTAATCACCAAACGAGAATTGATTTTCGGCTGATGCATAGAAACATGTATTTCAATTTAAAGTAATGCTTTCACAAATGGACTGTATAAGAACTTGTTTTCATACAAATTACAACTTGTAATCCTAACTACACACTACACCTCGTGAACAATTATATTACAGCAAAGCAGCTTCATCTCAAGTTCCATTAAACTTGTACTCTGGTTCTTACACCAACTGCCAGTGGACAAACAATAGTACAACAAATGATAAATGTGTAGACGAATTTTCTGAACGGTCAAGTTCAGATTATGAAGCCAGGATATCTCTCATTCCTTCATGCATTTTCTGAAAAACAGGGTGAAACTAGAGGTACTCGTTGATGCAAGCAGCAATAAAGGAAGCATAATCGCAAAAACCCGTCATTGAAGGGAAATATCATTCCCGGGTAGCAGATATGACAAGAGAATTTCATTCCACATATCAGGTACACCAGGTAGGCACCAATGGCTACAATCAGGCACTGATGGATTATCGCTCCAAGTACCCACATGGCCATCACTTCGGAATGCTACCATAGGTGTAACATGCAGAACAGTTACAGGGACGGTCATTTTCCTCACAATCTTGATAATGATGTTTGAAATTGAGCTTTGGTCCCTTCCCTTAGAGCTTGACAAAGGATGTTGAGTCACTTTGCATGAATTATGGTTATGGCCACTGGTACATATAAGAATCACTAGCAGTCAAGTTTTGCATGAGTATGTTTGTATTCAGGAACAACGATAAAAATTAAACATATACCTCAATTTACAAGATTTAGCTTCCATAAAGCAGAAAATAGGACAAATTTATAGATAACAGGTTAGATTCAAATCAGCGAATAACAGTGTATTTACACGATTAACCATTGACTAGAGTAATTTGAGGCCATAAAGACTTGGAAGTTCTTGTTGATCCCAGACTAACCCAAAATAAATCAGAAGAACAAAATAATCCAAGCAACTATTTACTTGTCTACTTAGTCTTTCTAAGTTCCCTGAGGATTTTCAGAAAAACTGTAATTTTATGATATAGAACCCCATTAGAAAACAACTAAAGAAGAGCAACATGGACGGAGATGTTATATTCAGAAGGCTAAATAAATAACAAAGAAACATGGAAGATAAAAAGCACATAAAGGTGTAGAATGCTCTAATGGGATCAAAAGCGCCCAAAAGAAAAAAAGAATATTCATGATAACATAAGTGTAAACCAACTACAAGTCAAATAAATTGCCAACAACAGTATAGTCGTTAGAACTAGATGCAATCAAAGTCCAGCAGCCTTAAGAAGCTAAAACCAGAAAGTTGGCAGCAAGTATCATAACTAACTTCATAACGCACCTCCAATGGGATGTCTCAAAACTCCTGAAAAATACACTTGTTCTGTTTGTATTGATCATTGTCTCGGCCCAAGATGCCCAAGTGTTTAAAGCTGTCTTGAAGGCAGTGGTGATTGGCATTCCAAGCTTCAGTGATTTACCCTCTTGAAAATAGCAGCCCCTGTCTGGAGAAATGTTAGACTTGCTTTGTTTTCTATATTTTATTTTTTGGTCTCTGTGTGTCTGTTGGAGCATTTTTGAAACAAAAGTGCTACAAGCACTCTCAAATGTATTTTGGGAATCTCTTCATAACAAAAGCTAAATCTGAACAAACTTGTGGAAATCTGATTGAGACCCAATGGTATGTTGAAAAAACATAATCATTCATACAAAAAAAAATTAAAAATTGGAGGTGCATATAAACTAACAGAAAATAACAACAGAAGACTACCCAACTTGCAAGTTCATATGCATTTGCTCAGACAATCCCGAACACATGAGTAGGTGAAGGAGAGGGAGAGAGAGAGACCCGCCAACATAGCACTAAGAAGTTGAGTATGGAAAATAGCAAATAGGGTCTGAAGTACAATGTTTAAATAACCTTCATTTATGCATTTCTATCCAGCATTTATCTCCAAATACGTCTTTGAATTATAATTCAAAGCCCCACCCCTTAGCTGTTGAAATTTTTTAAATTTCTTTTTTGCCTTTACTTGTAAATGAAATTTACTAGCTCATTTACAAGTATCATACAAAGCATATATATCATCTACAATTTATACAAGAATCATAACAGCTACAGAATTTGCATCACCAACAAACTTCAACCAAGACTTTGGCCGCATCAGCACTAAGGGAAATTCTACCTCTCCTGGCAAAGTTAACCTTCTTAAAGGGCGCTAACATGCAGAAGGCCTTCAAATCTTTTTATTAATAATAACTAACATCCACAGGCCTTAAAAAACATCCTCTCTTTTAGGAAACGATGAATATGTTGGACTCCACTGCATTAATCAACATCTATACCAAGAAACGTGGAGTATGAATGCTTGATGCACAAGCAGTTAACAGCGCAGATTCTCGGAACTGAATGTTGGAGGGGTGAGGGATTAAAGATGAATGTACCAAAAATATATAAACATGAAGCAACTTGGTCAACATCAGACAGCATTCTACAATAATACCTAAAGGTAGACTAAGTAAAAAACCCTCTCTCTTAGGTAAGATAAAAAGTTGAAATCCAGTACATGCATTACATTTTGTGCATTTATGAACATCTATACCAAGAAGCATGGAGCATGAAAGCATGATGCACAAGCAGTTAATGGTGAAGATTATGGAACCGAATGTAGGGGAATTTGAAGAGAAATGAATCACATAATTATAGAATCATAAACTAACTTTGTAAACTTTGTTAACATAGAAAAGCATCCTACAAAAATAACTGAAAAGTAGACTAAATATATACACCAAATACAGGATTTATGAAAGACAATGATCAGGAGACTAGGTAACTCACATTTCAAAAAGTTTACTTGGTGTCCACCAGTGCCCTGAATTGAAAATCAAAATATCAGAATCAATCCAGTCTTTGCTAATTTCATCCAATTTGTCAACTCTGAGCGTTGACTTAACCCTCTTTGGTGCTCGGTTTGGAGCTGAAGCCGGCTGCACTAGGAAAACTGACCGATAAAAGTCAATTCTGAGATCAAACGAACTAAACCGTACGGCTAAAAATCTAATCCGCTTAGTGATTTTATTCCCATTCACTTCATAAACACTCTTCTTATCCTCCAACCCTGTCATGAGTAAACATATCAAAGATTCCCACTGTGTTCTACCTAAAGAGTCACCAACAAAAACAATCCGTTTCCCACGAAGAGTTTCAAGAACTGCACGCACATCAAATCTAGGAATATCACAATTCTTTGGCTTCCACCTCCATTTAGCATAACCCTTATCTTTCCGCCCATTAGCCAAGCAATTAAATCCAATTTCTGCAAATGGGCATTGTGAGGCATTGTACAAAGGGTAACTTTCATCTGGAATCCATCTTCCTTCAAAAACATTACATTTTTCAACAGAAGTAGTGGAATTAGAAATTCCGTAGCTATGAACCACTGGGGGAACCCTGGGAAACAAATACAAAAATGCACATGACATGGCAACAACAAAAGACACCAATGAGCCAATTGCAACTAGTCCATTGAAAGTTTGAAAACCCCAGATTTTACCATGACCCTTCATGATCTCATTACCAAAATTCAAAACCCTTTTGTAGAAAATCCTGAATTGAACAAACAAGTCCAAATTAACGTTTCTCACTATCTCCATCATTTAGTAAAGAAACCCAGATGAAGAAGAATCCCAACTGAAATCATATATGAGACATAAAAGATTAGGCAACCCATAAGAAACAAATTTATGTATTAATAAACCATCAATAAAGTATGAAAATTGAGGCAAGACTTGGAACTGCCTACTAACCAATACAAGATCAGCTACATCACAGACCAAGAACAAAAATTGCTAACTTGAAGAAGACCCATCAAGCAGAGAGCCCAAAACTGGCAAACAAGCAAAGTAAACAGCAAGCTTACAGATTCACCAACTGGGTTTTGCAAGAAAGCACTTGGTTGTGGCTTTGACTGGTTCTGCCAGAAGAGAAGAGAAGAGAAGAGAAGGTTGTTTGGTGGAGGAGCAAATGGGAAATAAAGGTGAAGGATGATGGCATTTTTGGTTAACTTAGAACCTGGTTCATGTTGGTCTGAGTGAACGTGACCTCTCAACTGAAATGTTCAAATGTGGAAGATTGTTCTGTTATTTGCAAAGCGACTCTTGTCGGTGGGTTCTTAAGCGAAAAACAATGCTCAGTTGGCTTGAACACGTGGGATAACTCCATTGGCTGCGCTGGGCCGGACTCGTGAGCGCTCTTGTCTTTTGGACTGTAGTTGATGGATACCTTGTCTTTGTTCCGTTTATTTTATTTACAAGCAAATGATAAATAATTTATTTTTAAAAAAATACTATTTCTTTCTAGCAACTGTGGATTTTAAGGTCCGTCGAATTTCTAATTTTACTATTTATTTGAGGTTGTTTCATTAATAAATAAATAAATTGAGTTCACAACCTACCCCATTAAATCATCTACGTATAAAAATAATAATTTTTTCCATTGAAAAACAACTGAATCATAGCATTGAACATAAATCTCAAATGACGAGGTTTTAAGTTCAAGTCCTTTATTCCTCATTGATAAAATAAAATAAAATAAAATGTCTGAAAACATGAAGAGAGAAACTAAAGAAAAGTATGGAATCTATTTATGAACTCTACGCATGCTAGACCTTTTTTCCAATCTGATTTTCACCCTTGGCTATTAAGCAATTTGTGTTCCAAGGCTCACTTTGCTCAGATTCCATGGAGAATTATGTTTATTTTCATTTGCTGGTATATTTGGAAATGGAGAAATGACTTTATTTTTAAAGATAATACTGACTTGCCTTTCAATCCCAAAGATTTTATCTTTACTGCTGCAAAGGATTGGTTTCAAGCCATTGCTGGTAATAATAGGGGAGCTAATAAGGTGCAAGTGTTGTTGGCTTGGGTTCCTCCTGAAATTGGTGTGATCAAGTTAAATGTCGATGGATCTCGCATGAACAGTACTGGTGCCATTGGTGCTGGAGGTGTCTTGAGGGATCATTTGGGTCAGTGGATTGGTGGATTTGCTGTCAACTCAGGCCAGGGAGAAGTTCTTGAAGCTGAGTTGTGGGGGCTATTTTTTGGGATGAACTTGGCTGTTGAGAAAAAAGTAGAGGATATTGTTATTGAGATGGATTCCGAGACTGCGGTGCTTCTTGTTCAGAGTAAGATTTTGAATGCTTGTCATCCTAATGCAGGGCTGATTAGTAGCTGTAAAAGACTTATGAACTTGTTTCGAAGGATCAAGCTTCAACATATCTATAGAGAGATGAATGATGTAGCTGACGGGTTGGCTACTTGGAGTCACAATTTGGATCTAGGCTGTTACTATCTTGAGGAGAGCCCTGCTTGGCTTGATTTTTTATTGCTTAATGATTCTTTGGGAACTGTTAAGTCCCGCCTGATTAGTTCTAGTTAGTTGCTGTGTTGGTGCTTGGGGTTTCCCCCCTTTTTCTTCATCAAAAAAAAAAAAATTGGAGTGACTACCACATGGTTCTAATTTGAACCTGTTGGTTGGCCCTTAAATACGGATTTATGGGCTTGAGAATGTCGCTGCTAGCTTCAAGTCTGTGAAACACCCCACGTACCCAAGTGGTTGAGGAACCATCCAAAATTGGATTTTAAACAAAATGGGCCCCACCAAGAAGGTATGTGGGAGATGCTTGACCTCCTTGTGTGGGCTACTGATGTGTTTTGCAAAGTTTCGCGATGTAGGCAATTTGGAGTTGGAGTCTTTGTTGCTGTGATATAAGGTGGGGAATTACCATTTGGCAATTCACTCTAGAAACACGAGAAGCTTAATTCTCCCTTGTTACACTGTACGATATTCTTCCATGATTGCCTACCGATGGGTAGGTCGATTTGCTCCGAGAAGGGGGTAGCTCCCAATGGTCAAGTGAAGATGGTGGTTCTGCAATTGCTAGAAGATAGAGAAATGTACGAGCTGAGGTGCTGATCGGCAATTGGGCTTGCTGATGATGAACCCATTTTCTTTGGGTGTCATAATAAATTCAATAGCTGGGTGCCGTTTGGAATTTTGAAGAGAGAACTTGGAGGGGCCATTAAAGCTCTGCACCTACCTTTCCGTTAGGTAATTCTGAGTTTTACAGGACTAATCACCAAGGCTCGGTAGGTAGAACAGAGATGGAGAGGTAGCCTGACAAGGCTGTAATTTGTGGTGCCGAACGGCAATTTGATTTGCTAGCCGTGAACACAGGCCATCATGGGTTCGATAGTTCGAAGTTGCTGATTAATAAATTGCCTATCCATTAGAAGGTTTGTGCATGTAATATGGCTCACGATGGCCCTACCAATTTGGTAGGCACTCCTCCATGGCGGCTTGATGAGTGGGTGCCGATCGATACCTGTATTTTCTAGTGGACAGGCCTTGTAGGCAGAGGCTCGGTGAGGCTTTGTGAAGCTTCGGGGGTGATGAACGGTAGTTTGATCTGCCAGTAGTGGGACAAGTCCCCTTGTATAGCTTCAGCATAGGGGTTATTCACTTGATGCCCTTGCAAAGGTAATTGCAGCTTTTTGATGAAATCTTTCCTCATGGGTTAGGTGTCCTGAGTAATCCATCGGCATGGTGTTGCACAGCCAGGGGTTTTGATTCTGCGCAAGAGCATGGACGTCGATAGCCATGGGAGATTTTATTGCTCCAGTGGGTGATGTACAGTCTTGCCATAAAAAATTCTATTAAGTTGTGCTGGTGTTGAACAACGTGATGCCAATCCCATGACTCATTGCCCACTGCATCGGTATTCCATTGTGTTGATGAATGGCAATCGACAGGTGTTGAACAACACCTAAGCCACAGCTTATGTTAATGAATTATTAAATATTGCATGCTTGCAACTATGTTGAAATAATACAATATAAGAATAGGAATCTTATCTCATGATGGGGATGCACGTGGGCATCCGTTGGATTGGAACAAATTTATGCTCCGTTCGCCATGCAACGTGATAGCCACATTTGATTTGAACGATGGCTGCTCCCATAGTCATGGAAGCCATGCATAGCAAGGTGCCGAACGGCAATTGGGGCTGCTGAATAATGACGGGATGCCGAAGGCTTCCTTTTGCGCCGAATTATGACAGGGTGCCGAAGGCAACTCTTGCGCCGAATGGCTAATAGTCTTGGGTTTTTGCTTTTGGCGTATATGCCGATGATCATTACCAATGGCTGCTCCCACAGTCATGGAACCCTTGCCGAACGGTAAGGCAGAGATGGAGATGAGGTCACGTAGAGGCTGCCGCATGCCGTTGGCAATATTGACTTGCCAAACGTGAATAGTTAGTTCACATCCTCTCTTTTTGTTTAATTGCCGCTTGGCGATTGGCTTCAGCACATAAGTGCCATTAGGATGTAGTTGTTGCTGACCATGTTGTCCCATATATATATATAATCTTTAAAGGAGTGCAGAACGGTACTTGCTTATAGGGGTGGGCACGGTCCGGTTTGGTCCGGTTTCACCCTCAAACCACAGCTGAACCAATTAAACTTTCACGGTCCGATTTGGTTCGGTTTAAGTTAAAATCAAAATGGAAACCAAACCAAACCAAACCATTCATATCCGGTTCGGTGCGGTTTGGTTCGGCCGGTTTAGGCATAAAAGAAAACATCATTTTCTCCATGTCACCGAACATGTTCATTCTCAAGTTCCCTAATATCAAACACATAAAACATTCACTAATCATACAACCCAAAGAGGTAAAGAAAAAACATACGAAAGAAAAGAAGCTGCAAGCAATAATAATTATTACAGAACATGATTCTCAAATAAATACAATCCTATTGTGCTTAATTATATAGTTATTACAAATCATGATTTAAAAAACAGTGATAATCCTTCCAAACAGCAGCCCCATCAGATTCAACACAACATTCTGCACATCAAAACAGTAAAATAGAACTTTTCCCCCTCTCTTCTGCTGATATTCTCATTCTGCACATAAAAACAACAATAATGGGTTTCATAAGAATATTGTATGACACAAGCTCTGTAATCGCATCCCACACACAGCAAATCCAACATGCTAAATCACCATATTTTTTACCAAAAAGCAACAGAGTGCTAAGTAAACT